GAGATTGCAAAGGGACACGTAGCTGAGGTTGATAATGCTCCAAGTGCTTCATCTCTGGGTGAGGAGATGCTCCTCTTTGCATTTAAAGGTGATGCAGTATCCTTCTGGCTGGTCCATGAGCACCAGGTCCCACGTCCCCTGCTGCGGTACAGCTCTGTGCTACGTGTGCCCGAGGATGTTAGCCTGACAGCACTGCTCAGCACCTTGATGATGCATCAGTTAAGGACCGGTATCTCCCAGCAAATCTCTAGAATCTCAGCATCTGTGTCCTTCAGAGCTGCAGGAGCTGCGCTTTGATCTTCTCATGCCTTTACTTTGTAAAGCAGGGTGCGCCAAGAGCAGCCAAGGGGGCCGAGAGCAGTGGCTGTGGGTTTGGGGTGGGGGGAGGAAGGCAGGCTGCAAAAAGATGCCCTTCCTGCAGGTTGCTGGGGCAAACTGAGAGCAAGTTTGGGGTCAAACTGGGTCCCAGCAGGGCCCCATGGTACTGGAGGAGGCTCCCAAATATTATCACTTGTAACTGCTGTGCTAAAATTACCACTTTGTGTCTTCACTCAGGCTCCCTGGCCTGCGGCTGTGCAGGGTGTAGGGTGGATAGGGGGGGTTTTCCGGGTGAGCTGTGCCCGGGCGGTGGTGGAAATCGTGGCTATCAGCGGCATCATATTGACCTGCTCAGCTCGAGAGCAAGCAGTGATGCCCCTGCTACAGCACCAAGTAATCCTGTGTTACCCCCCTGGCTTAAACCTGCCTTTGACACCAGCCGATGGCATTTGATGGGGGGGAAGGATGCTTGAGGTGTGCCTGAGCTTCAGGCTGGCTGCATCACTGCCCTCCTGGTGATGTGAAGCTCATCCTTTAACTGGGAGGTTATTTAATGCAGCCTTTAATCTGTAATTTAAGGTTCAGTTTGATTTCCAAGTGCCGTGCTGTAGGAATGTGGGGCTGGAAGGAGCTTTGGTCCCGTGTGTTGCCATTAGGGACAGCACGTGGTCCCTCCCAGGAGAGTTGGAAGCTCTTTATACCTTTCTCTCATTTCATTTATTGCCTGAAACCCCCCCACCAAATTCAGATGGAACCTGTAAGTGATACTGATCTTGCCAGAATTGGATTTTCCAGCAAATTTATCATAGTGAAAATGAAATCATTGACCCTGAAGTGCCCTGATGCTCTCATTTTAAGGAAGATGCAGGGAGAAGCCCAAGGGTAGGGCAGTGCCATGACTTGGAGTAGGTCATTTTCCCATGGAGGAGCAGAGTTTGTTACTCACCCACACATGGAGCAAAGGTGAACCAAGGGGAGGATTCGGCACGGGTACCAATCTAACATCCAACTGCAACAGCGCATTGCCTCTGCTTTTAAACTTCTCCTTAAAAATGAGTTTTAAATTACTGTCACAGCTGCGTGTGCTGTGTGGGCTGCTTTCCAAAGTGCACGTCTTGTGCCAAACCACGGGGAAAGCAGCTGCTTGTCAGAGCATCACGGCTTGTCATGAAGATCAGGGTGGGGGGGAGCGTAAGGTCCCAAACCCCGGGCAACAAATCCCCAAATGCCGCGATGTACTGGTGTCAGTGCGCACGGTCGGGTAAGCGTTTCCTTTCCTCTGTGTTTTACCTGCCGGGAGAGCAAATGGAAGAGAAGATTTGTGACAACCTGATGTGTTGCAGAGACTGATGCAGGTTTTGCCCTTGAATCCCAGGAAAGATTGGTGAAGGAGGAGATGGAAAGAAGGAAGCACTGATTTTTGCAAAAATAGCACCTGAACTTGGTGCAAATCCTTGGTGAGTAAAGCAGAAGGAACTGGAACAATGAGGATAGGCTTGTCGTCATTTATTATGCTTGCAGCATGTTTAGATAGCAATAGCTCAAAGAAACGGAGCAGCAAAGAGGGGAAAATAATCCAGCCCTGTTTCACTGGCTGGGGTACACACCAGTGCAACTAATAGATCCCGTTATTACACATCTGTGAAGTCAAGAAATACGGCTCGTTCCTCCCTCTGCTGCATGTCGCTTGTATTAACAGAGGATGTTCATCTAATCCCAGCCAAGGCTGAGGATAGGGGTGGTGCTGAGATAACATTGTCCGCAGTGCCCGGCCGCAGGCGGCGATGCTCGAGGCGGGTTATTCGCAGCACGTTTTGTTTTCCTTCCAGAGAGCTGGGCCCTGGCGTGAAGGAGAATCTGATAACGCAGCTGATGGATCAAAACTGGCATTTTCCTTGGGAGTGCAAATGAGACGGTGCAACTGAAATGAAACACGTTGCTGGAGACGGTAGACGGGCTCATCAGAAACGCCCACAGCGGCAGAAGTAACCACATCAGATCGGTCCCTTGATGGGCGTGATTATTGGTTTGCATTCCTGTGATGGCTCATCAACGCCATCATGCAAAACAGCCTCCATTTATTGTCCGATTTCTTGGATTTAATGGGTTTTTCTCGGGCTGAAAGGCTGAGCTGTGCTCTAGGGAAAACAATTACCTTCCTCGCTTAATAAGGAAGATAAACTGCATGGTGGGCAGCGCGTGAACAAGGGGGCCTTAAGGAATCGCTGGGTGGGATGAGCACCCCTGGAAAGCATCTGGGCACGATGCAACCCAGGAATTAGGTACCTGCTCGCCTCTGGGGATCTGGGGCACTCGTGGCCACAGCGGTGGATGTTGCCTGGAGCTGATGGTGGGGGAAGGATGCGGGAGAACATCCCTGCTGCCCACCCACAGAAGGGGCTGGGGGGAGCGAAGGGGTGGCAGGGCCTGCAGCCCCCTGTTCAACCCCTCAGCGCTGTCGGCTGTACGGGCAGCAATGTGGGGGCTGCTCGCTCCTAGCAGGAAGCTTGGATTGGGTTAGACGATGTCTGTTAAGCCTGATATGAGGCAGAGGGTGGCTGCTGGGCTCAGAGCTGCATGTCTTTTCTCCCTGTAGAAATGCAAGGGTGATCGCTGGTCCCTGGGGATGGGACGTGCACAGGCTCTGCTTGTAGAGAATGACAGGCTGGCACAGTAACACGCTGTGCCCCTGGCCATGAAACATCTCAAGCAGGGGAAAACTGACTCAAACGCAGGGATTTCACATCATTTGCCCTGCTGCATACTCAGTGAGGTTCCTTGAAGGATCCTGTCCTGGACCTGAAGATGCTGCCATGGGGCTGCTTGCCAAAATGTGCTCATCAACGCATACTAAAAGGAAATGTTTGTTTTTCCCACGTGTTCAGCTTGGCAGGAACTAAAATTTCAGTAAAACGCATCTCTCAAACTATCTAGTAATATAAATGAATACATCAACTCCAAAATCGACTTGGGGTGGTGCCCAAGCGGCCATGTGCTATCTGCTCTCAGCTCTATCGTCCCATCAGTATCTCCTGTTCGATATAA